TTTTTATATGTGAGAACGTCAAGCGAACTACAGAAACTACAAAGAAGGTACAAAACCAAGGGGGAAAAAAAAAGGAAGCGAGGAAGAAACGAAATGAAAGCAAGTAACATGTAATGACAGAAATAAATGAGAGGAAGTAAAATAAAAATGATAAGAATGGAAGGACGAAAAACTAAAGAAAATAAAGAATAACACACACGAAAGTAGGAAGAATACTCCGATAGAAGAAGATAGGTGTGACTCGCGTATTGAGATACGACATAAGGATGACAAATCCTGAACAGTTTTAATATTTTTAATATTTAAAATTTATCAATATATATATGACGAATATATATTTTAGTATAAAGACAACAGGGCATGCAATGAAGTAGTTTGACGTACATCGAAAAGCACCTGAAGATGGCACTTTTGTGCTGAAACATGTAGTGCAAGAGAGAAGAGTAAGGTGAATAAATGTATGCACTGTAAGATGGTTAGAATAAATAATGGACATAAATCAGTGCAACAGGATGTTAAAATATAACATAACTCCCAACTAAGTGACCAACTAACTCTTGACTTGTTGTGCTTATAACATCTCGGCACAGACCAAGCAGAAAACAGTGCTTCCCATTATTGTTATATCCAACTGTTGCATTTGTGGAAACATGCAAATTTGCAGAGCCATACTTAGCAACGGCTGTTGTATATTTGCTTATTTCATGGTCGTTGCCTAGCGATGGGACTACATGCCATATTAAACAATGTCTATGAAATAGACGATGATATAAACAGAGACATCCACTTACAATCAAATGTAAACCAGGATTTATTATGGATTAATACAGCTGAAAAATCTAAACTGCATAACAAATGTGGGATGAAATCTCCCATGCCAGATTTTAATAAGACCAAGGAAATAGTTTATGGGATATATGTAAAAGTCTATGCTTCATGTAACTGAGGCTTTATTAAGGATCAATATGGCTGGAAACCAAATTCTTTGACAAATTTAGTGGAAATCTCCAACACTAAATTTGATGAACATCAGTCCAGGAGCACAGGATGTTGACAATACTAGGTCATAGATGGATGAATGGGCAGGCATAAAAACTTAAAGGATAAACATAGCCCAAATAAACAGCCTTCAAAATTATGCACCTGTTGCACATAGTGCATAGGTATTCTGCTGAGGAAGGGGATATAAGAGGACAATGGAATGGGTTAAAGAAATTGAAAAGAGGAGAAGTGAAACCCATTTTCTCAGTTTTCCTTTCTCTTTAAAATGTAAACAAATGTGGAAAAGACAAACTTACATCACTATCAGACTCAGTTCTTCACTCTTCAAAGCCTTAACAATGACATCTATGTGATCTTCTGACACAGTGCAGCAAAGATTGGACAGCAGCACCACTTTTCTCTCAGAAAACTTCTTTCCTCTGAAACCAATTGATTCTTAGAATACTTAACAGTACCACTTCAACTAAAGAGGAAATATCTTATAAGATGTGAATATAATCATGAATGACAAGTCAGAATTTGGAAGATAACTTAAGGTTCTGAAGTAAAAGGTAAAGGTAAAGTTGTCCCTGGCCAGTGACGGTAGCCGAGCGGTCTAAGGCATGCACTGTCTTCGCTCGCTTGGAAACCGGGATCGTGGGTTCGAATCCCACTCAGAGCATGGATGTTTAGTTTGTGTGTGTGTACAGGTAGAGTGGCCTTGCGATGAGCTGATCACCTGCCCAAGGAGTCCTACCGAACGTGTAAGATCTAGAAAAACCGATGTGAACAGAGAAGTTCATGGAGGTAGGCCTAGGCCCACTGGGGCTGTAGAGCCAAGGGGGGGGAAACAAAAGTTGTCCCTGTGCTTAACTAATTAAGCACTATGCCATGAAAGCATATGGGGAGTGGATGTATAGATCCACATTTTCTTGACCTTGGCACTAGCTGGAGGTGAGTGGTCAGCTTCACGCCACAGTCACTTTATCCCTGAGGAAAGAGTGCCTGGTACCCATTGTATAGGAGGCTGGGTGGGCCCCTGAGCTAGTCTGGATGACATGGAGAAATGAAAATTCTTGCCCCACTGGGACTCAAATTCCGACTCCTCCGTCCTCCAGCCCGTAGCCAACTGAGCTATCCCGGCTCCCAACTTAAGGTTCTAGGGACATAATATCTCTTAGAGACTCAATTACTCAATTATAAATCACACCTCCTCTTAGCACACCCTTTCTCCAGGAAAGAGGCTCTGATTTCTGTTACAGTAAGACAACTGCTGCTTTAGTGCAGGAGCAAATGCTGGCACTAAGAGCCTATCTGGAGGCTTAAAGGTAGCAATCCTACCAATGGGCCACCAATCTGGCTAGCAACCAGTTTGTGAGAACCTGTAATTCATTCCAAGATATTACATAAAGAGGAGTGGACTATTCTGAGTGTTCACCTGGTGATACTCGGGAAAAACACAAAAATATTTAGTCAGAACAGCTAGTGATCCAAAATAGATATAAGCCAGGTATCGCCTGAATATATGTCCAAAATGTAACAGCAACTTGCTTGTTCTCTTGAAAATACATTATGCGTCAAAATATACAATACTGAAATGAATAGACGTCCTGTTGATACCACTGTCTATTCATGTGAAAGCCCCGTGCATGACAGAACCTTCTCAAATCCTGAAGAAATGGTCTGATTATCATGTCCCTGTAGCATTCTTGGGTGACAGTAAGAGCACTGCCTTCCTCATCCTCAATGAAATAGGGGCCTAAAATACTGTGCTGAGACGGCACACCATATCGTCACACATGTACTATGTAGCAGTTTCTGGACAATAACATCTGGCCGCTCAAAACCAAGGAAGTGAGTTGTCTGGCGACAACTTCCATATGAGTGGAAATAATACTCAACTATGAATACCTTTTCCTTTGCCAAGAGACCCATTTCCAACAACTGCACAACACAACTTCCTTTTCACTACTGGGAACACGTGCAGCTGGAGCTATGCCCTGTCGACAAATGCACACGCATGTTCGAGATGTATAAGTTTCAGTACTGTATATTTTGGCGCATACTGTATTTCTGTCGGACATCATCAGAAATCGCTAGAGCTGACCTTAATATAATTTTTGCATATTTATGAATCCACATTCATCAGATTTTAGAGAACTGCGTTGTGTAGACATAAAGTCGATCGAGTGGTCCAATGATAGGCTTCCTGAATGTGTTGATTAATCTACACTAGTTGACACACATGCTGTTTAAGACATGACTGACTTATTCTTAAGTTACTTAATGTGAATGTCTCATTTTCAGATTATATAGTGTCAAATGAGACAATCAGTATTAGTGTGGTGGGGGTTGTGTTTTACTTAACACTGTAAGCAGCTAGACTATACAGTGTCAAATGGCAGGATATCTGATGAACAATGAATCAAAAATGATTCGAAAGTAAGCAGTGGTGGCCAAACTAAAGTACTATCCCAGAATTTGCCTGGATGAACCAACAAAAACTGGAAAACATCAGTCAAGGTAATTGATGTCCTAGATTAGATTCACACCGAGCACCTCCCAAAAAGAAGTTAAGAGTGTTACCGCTACACCAACCCATTCAGCATTTCTATAATGACAACTATTTTGCTGCTGTTGATAACAAAAACGACAACAATAATGTAAGATTTGAGGCTTTCACGGCGGTGACTATGAAGAAAGCAGTCTTCTGGGATTTTGCACCATGTATATGTGGTGTTAACCGACGTTTCGGAGGAACGTAGCAGACTGCTTTCACCAGTCCTCACGGTCTCTTTGCTTGCAGATTTCTTATATATTTTTTCTTCTACCCTGAAGATGGAGGCGATACGTTCCTCCGAAACGTCGGTTAACACCACATATACACGGTGCAAAATCCCAGAAGACTGCTTTCTTCATCGACAACAATAATGTTCAACATACTCAGTTTCTTCTTTCAAAACATTCATTGCCACAACTATGGCATCAAGCCAATCAGCATTCACCATGGTCCCTGTTAAGTCTTCTACGAACTGCACCATCTCCCAAGATGAAAGGGCCAATGAATGGGTAACACTGATGTTCTTATAATTTAAACTATTCTGTGTTTCGTCAGAACCCAGAAGTATCAATGTCACTTCATCCTTTAAGTTGGCAAAAATCTGAAACATTGCATTCAGTTTTACATATAAACACTGACACTGGTTACTTCTACAAATTACTAAGTACTACAGAGTTACATAGATTCCAAATCATGTTTACTGGGACAAACAGGGATTAAGTCCTCTATTTCTCCATATTTTACTTGAAGTTTGTTTATTTACTCCTCTGATGTGGTACTACCTTTTATGATTAACTTTGATAGTCATCAGCTAGTCTCCTTTACTGCCCTAACAAGAAAATGGGTGAAATCAAAACCAGCACAGTGGTCAGTTACAAAGTACTGTACCTTTAAATAACTTTATTTTTCTGTCACAACACAACAACTAAGGAGTGACGGAAAAATAAAGTTATACATTGTAACACAACAGGATGCATGAAATTAAGATTACTGTACCTTTCTTTTCAGTATCATGGACACACACTTCTTTGAATTTTCTAAAAACCCTGATTTCATATTTTTTCTGTCCTGTGAGACAGAATGTCCAACATCAAGAATGATGGCAATGGCTTCCTGCAACAGAAAATAATATAAATTTTATATACTGCATGAATTCCAGGTATTTAACATTCCCTCCTTGGATCAGGATGCCACTGTCTAGCCTGCCATTAAAATCAAACACAATCACTGCTTCATGCTAAAGTTAACAGATCACTTTCATACTGTACTGACTTCAAATTACGTTATGCTATATTTATGTAATGTAAGTTTATAATATAGACCTGGGACAGCTCAATCAGTATAGCGACCTGCTACAGGCTGGATGGTTGGGATTCAATTCCTGGCAGAAGTAAGATTTTTCTCTTTTTCACAACACCC